CCCGCAGACTCCCCCCTTGCCCAGCGAAGGTCCAAGCACCCATTTACCCTCTGCCAGAAGAGACTCTCAGGCTGGCCCCAGCTGCGCCTCCCCTCCCTTCCTCAGACCCAGCCTGCTCCAGGGAAAAGCATCTCTCCAAAGATGTTTTTGATACTCCCTCTGCAGGTTCCAGTAGCAAATACCACAGGACCCTACATGAGAGCGCCTTTGGAGAGACGCTTTTCCCCAGAGCAGGTCGGGACTACAGAATGGAGGCGAGACACAACTGCAGCCGATCCGAGGCTCTTCCAGGTGTGGGTCCTCTGGCCAGGAAGCAGGCGTGGGAAGGGTTTCTCTGGGCTGGCGGGAAGTGAACTACCATAAATTAGCGTATATAACCCGCATCCCTGTATAATATGTACTCGTGTATTACCCACAGTTTTTCTTTCATGTGTAAAAAAAATTGTAGATTACCCACGGACGTACATAACCCACAGGTAATGAACCGTCAACGAAAAGTCTGTTTGGGAGTGAAGAAAAGAAGAAGCGGAGATTGAGAAATTAAATCCTCGGAAAAGAGCGCGCCAACGAAAGGAAGCCAAGTGGCAAAAACTAAAAGAAATCCTGGTAAAGTGGGTTCTTGCACGGAGAGATAGCCAATGTGTGGTGTCAATGGTAGCCATAAAGCTCAAGGCTCGACTTATTGCTGAGGAGATGAAAATTAATGATTTTAAAGGGGACTCGGGTAACTGGGTTTACAAATTTATGAAAAGAAACAACCTTTCAGTTCGAGCATGGACATCTGTTGGGCAATGGCTTCCTGACGAATGGGAGAAGATAGAAGATTTTAAATATTTTGTCCATAAAGAAATTAACCAGCTGATTTTATTATGTTAGTCTTGTCTTCTTTTGAGTAAAAATCAGCTTGTCTAAGAGGCGGACATGTATACCCCGCCGGGGAGGGGGTGCGGAGCAGGGTTTGTAAAATGTGTATAACCTGCGGGTTATATTTGCTAATTCACAGTACTGGCTCCATTTGTGGGAGAAGGCAGGGGGCCCATTCATTTTCTGTCCTGGGGCCCGGTATTACTGCCAGTGGGCCTGCCTACTTCCTACTGGACAGCACAGTGGGCTGGCTGGTACAAGGCCTGTGTTGCTTGCACCTGACAGTGGTCTAGAGCAGTGTTTCTCATCAGCCAGGCCATAGACTGGTGCTGAACCATGATATTTCCCCGACTGTTCAGGAAGGCAGCATGCCAGTCCCTGGTATTGAGACGGATGCTAGAGCTCAGAGCCATTTTCGAGCCGTGCCGTGCCGATGAAGTGAGCCCCTTCCATCCCCCCTTGTTTGAGAGATCTGATCATGCAGCTTTACGGGGAACTTGGTACTAGTGGCAAAGAAAGCGCCAGCAATTTAATTCTCCTTAAGAGCTTTGTAAGCCAAAATATTTGTCATAAATTGCAGGAAATTCACACCAGGCTGGAAAAATCAATGCAGGCCTATCCTTCTGAGCCCTGGGGATTACATTCCAGGGGGCACTGGTTGTGTGGGCTCAAACCCCAGAGTGAGTTTCTAACCCACTACCCAGTCCCACAGGAGGAAGAGCTGCCAACTCCCCAATAGCACGTGAGATGCAACAGAGAGTGACACCCACCTTCCGCCTGCTTCTCTAGAAATCCAGGCTTTCCTTCCAAAACCGGGCCAACAGAGATCAGAGAGTGCAGGTTTCTAAAGCTGCTTCGGTCACTTCGCTGGGGAATCGTCTCCCTGTTTTCATAGCAATTCTGAGAAAGACATAAAAAAACCATTTGAATGTCCTAGTTCACCTATATGGACGGGCCGTCCCTGCCAACGGGGGATCTTTGCTGGTTCATCTAAATTAGCTTTTATCACAGGACAAGCTTTGGGTCATTTCAAGCCCTCTCTGTCAGCATCATACCCATATCCCATTGCTCCCTGCTGGTACTAGAGGCCCTGCACTGACGGACCTGCACACATACCTGCTCACACCCTGCATGGTCATTCAGGCAGATAGCGAATTTGCAGTGCAAATATGCTGTGGAGTGGTTCAGCATCTGGAACAGCTGCACGGTGAAGCTGGCAGTGCTGGATTTATTGTTCTGCAGTAATTGGATGTGTCTGCATCCGACCGGCAGCCTGGCAAAGACAAGGGAATCCAGTTTCACTTCCAGCTGCCCCCCTCCCATGGGGTGTCCCAGCATCACTGTGCATAGGCGGTTAAGCCAAAAGTCCCTGGCATGTTACTATGATCTCAGCTTGGACACTTTACAGGATTGTAGCTGTTCTGGTGGAGACCACGTGCCGAGAGCAATTTTACCGAATGCTGATTTCACTGCAGCTGTCCGGCCTGCCATTGCAACGCCGCTTACTATTCCCTGACTGATCCAGACTGGCTCGTAAGCAGTGCAGAGGTGACCCAGCAGTACCAGCCCATAAGCCCTTCTCAGTGCTAATGCTACTACTTGGCTCGCCATCTCTGACATACTTTATAATCATTAACACATGAATCCTCAAGTGCCTGGACACTCCGATCCGGAGAGGGGAGGGAGCAGCATCCCAGTGCTGCTGCAAACAGATGGAGACACAGACAAGGGGAGTAATGTAGCCGAGATCCCACAGCAAGTGACTGGGATCAGAGCCCCCGGGGGTTCCCTAAGGAGCAATGAGATATTAGAAAAAGTAGCTGTCCCGCTCCCTCGCCCATTCCCAGCACGGGCCCTAGCTATAATGCTCAGCCTCTGCCAGCTCTCACAGCGGCCCTGGGTCTGACCTGGGGAATAGACAGCACATGGCATCCGGCCCCTCTGGCCTGGCCGCGGGCGTCACGCAGCACGAGTGGATCCTCACCGTGGAGCGGCTGGCGGTGGTCTGCCGGGGGGCGACAGCCCGGGAAGGGT